AGGGTATGTTTCTGTCTGTAGTTAAGATAAGATAAATTACTGCTATGTAATGATTTTGTATCAAATGAGGTCCTAACTTAAATTATCATGGTTACCAAAAGTTAGGATCTTTCTGTAACACGATGCATGTCATGATTTTGCCAAGTTCAATGCGATTTTTATTCGAAAATGTAATCCATATCTATTCCCTACCCCTAAACACAAGCACAACTGTAAATTATTCGAAAATCAGAGGGGACTAAAAGTTGGACAACAAGCTTAACATAAACAGTAAATTGTGATTGGCTGATTGGAATGTTGTTCCAGGATGAACATAGGATGTTGATCCAGGAACATGTCCTACACAGTGAAATCAAGTTATGATGCACGTTCTTATTCTTCTTATAGAAGTAAATTTACAACTAACAAATAATAATTTCTATTTATAATTTTTAAATTAGCAATCTCCAGAGCTGCAAAAAGTTATATTTTATCAGCGGTTAGCTAGTAGCATGTGTGGAGCAAATTCATGCAAAGCAGTTTTTATTTATGCTTGTTAAACAAGTTAAAAACCCAATTCAGCATTCTGACATTTACTAGTTTAGTAATTGGATAACTGAATTATATGGCAGACCAGCTGCTGTTTCTGTTGTAACTTGCATGTTTGTTGTCATCAGGCCAGCAAGATGACTAACTGCAAGCTAGCAAAGGGATGTTTGCTAGCATTACCTCACCTGAGGCAGTCCTCATAGCTTGAGACTGCGTGTAGTTTGTCCTGACTACCCTTTGCTTGACTGAAATCAAAGTAAAGAACACCAAGGATGTGTTTGTTTTGTAGCCATTTTTTTTCAGTAAGAAAAAACATAAGAAATGAGACTCCTAAACATTGTTTAATCCATATGAGCAAATGTGAATGAGCATTATTTTTTGTGCATTCATTCAATTTAAATTTCTGTAAGCTAACAATTGATTTAATTAAGTAATTTTGAATGTCAACATAAAAATAAACATTCACAATTACTGCATTACTCTACCTTTCTGCTGTTTGTCATTAGATTCATCAAGGAACTTGTTGATTCGGTCTGACGGAATGGCAAAAGAGATCCCTGCAGTCACTTTTAATGTGTTTATTCCAATCACCTCACCATCCTAACATGACAGAAAAATGACAGGTATGTAAAAGAAAAGGTAATTGTGTCTAACCAGTGTCCTCTTATGGGGTGTTCACAGTTCTAGTACTGATCCTTAATGCAGACCAAAAACAAAATAACATTTAATCCTGATTTGTTTATCAATCACGCTGTAGTTTTTAAGACAGAAATTAAAGATGCAAATATTTATACATACAAATATTTAGCAACAGAATTTATTGAACATCCAAAACATCTGAGCTGAAATCAATTGTTGGACTTAAGTATTTCTATAGTACTTCATACAATGTAGACTGTGTCAAAGCCACATCACAAGGATAAATAAGTAATTATATAAAAAATCAGATATACACTGTTTGTAGAATGCTGGTGTAGCTATTTTAAATATGACTTAGCTTATAACCAAAAATAAATAAATAAATTGTGATTCATATGTAAACCAACTCTAAAGGCATTTATATTAGTTGAAAACTTCTAAAGTAATTACAGAAGACAAATAGCACCAATAATTACGTCATTACACACAAAAAGAAAGATTTGTTGCAAATTTTAGCATTTTCAATTATGCCTATATTAATCTGTAATGTGTGATACTGTAAATATGAAAATAAAAAGCACTATACAAGTTTATCTAATTATTCTAATTAATTAAAAAAATAAATATATGAAGTAGGCATGGGCTGGTATAAGTTTCTGATGGCCTGTTAACCTTAGATAAACATACCAAGATTTAATACCACGGCTCTAAAATTAAAAAGCAATTTTAAAAACAAAAAAAAAAACACAGCGCACATAAAAACTTTTCATATACCTTAAGAATGGTATAACAGAATTTTTTGGTGGTTTTAAAACCTTGACTTTTCTAAACCCTGGTAAAACTTGAAACCGGTTATCATCCCATGTCTAATATAAAGTGTGAACACACCCTTACTCTAGATGTAAAACATCATCCATACTTACCAGATTAACCAGTGGACCTCCTGAGTTTCCATACTTCCCGTTAATTATGAAAGAGAGAAAGAGAATTCAGCTAAAACTATGTGTCAAACATTTGTTAAAGCCTGAAAACAGCATGATCTTTCATCTTACATTGATGATGGCATCGGTCTGGATGTAGCCCATGTCAGAGTCCCGGATACCGAGCTCTTTTCCATCTCTCTGTGTTGTGCTGACGATGCCTGTCGTGACTGTGTTCTGAAGAGCAAAAGGGCTGCCGATGGCAACCACAAACTCACCAGGCCTCAGGTCAGCAGAGCGACCTAATGATAAGACCTGTAATTTCTTCTGCAGGAGAAATGAACACAACAAATCATGTAAAGTAATTAATTTGGAAAGTTATTTAGTCAATATGTTCATTACTGATTTGTTTTTATAATGGCTTAATTTGTAATAAAATACTAGCATATGGTTGTGTTTTGACAGTATTAAGAGTAGTAGTCTTCGAATTCTACACCACTCACATCATTTGAATGAATCACCATTACATTGCTTTATAATAACTTTATTGAATTATTGTATACAGGGTTTCTATGCTTTCATGAACAGCCGATCCAAGGACTTTCAAAGCAGCATTAATTTTAATTTAAGAACCTCTGTAACTCATACCACAGCATATGTAGCGCCATGAAAGTCTTTACTGTACTAAACAACTAACTTAATTATTATTATATGTTAAACATGTCAGAGTAATTTTCACAAATTTTGACCCTTTTAAAAAGTCATGTTCAAAGAACTTTAACAAAATTGGTTGAATTTAATAATGTTAATATTCAAATGTGCTTTCTGAAATAAATGTCCGTTATATTTCAGTGTTATTGTATAAGATCTAAATTTAAAGTTTTTTCATTTTAGATTTTTAGTTTTTTCAAGTAATTGTTGAAATAAAACATCATTATTTCAAATTTAATTCAGACAATTTTAAGAACCAGGCCATCCATATGTGTGAAATTTAAGTACTTTCAAGAAATGTGGGAACCCAGTGTATATTACTAACTATCTTGCCTGACACCTTGTGACATTGATAGTTAAAATATGCTTGAAATGATGTCAGTTCAGTGGTACATTGATGCAAAAAGTTTAACCAAACACTAAGAAAACAGGATCTGTTTAAAAGATTTTAAATCAATCATAAGTTAATGTTGGAAAATTATCTGTAATACAGCATCAACTACAAAACACATTTAAATAATATGTTTATATAACAACAACGTATTAAACATAAAAAGGTTTTTCAAAGATTTTGCACATACAGTTTGTAGAAAACAATGTTGCAAAAATGGGGGAAAATGCTGTACTATACATGGCAGGCAAGAAGTCACTTTGTAAAGGGACATTAAGTATTTTTATGCATGTTCCCATGTAAAGAAACGCCAAGTACACAAAAAAGCATTTTTGTAGTTTACATAGAGATGATAACAATATTATCTTCAAAATCGTCTTCATTAAACATTGTTTTCAAAAGTTTGCATGTTTCAAGCACCCATAAAAAAATTTGTCATGTAAATGAATGAGCAAAATTTTTTAAACAATTTTAATTGCACTGTTAACAATTTCCTGTAGAATTTATAGTATTTTACTGGTAGCAGTTCGCCAGTAACTTACTGTTCTCTCAATTACAGTAAAAATACAGTATTTACAGCACCATTTATCTTGTTGTAAATGTGTTTAAAGTATTGCATTTATATTTATTATAAAATATACATTCGTTTTTACAATTAAATTTTAAAATACAGTAACATACTGCATAAAATTCATTTCATATTACAGTTTAGTTCACCAGAAACTATACTGTAAATCAATTACAGATAAAGACTGTATTTATAGCACAATTTAACTTGCTGTGAATATATTTACAGTATTGTATGTCTTTACTGTAAAATATAGTAGTTTTCACAAGGCAACTTTAGACTACAGTAACATACTGCATAATTCCATACTGCACAGTAAAATTCAGTTTATATAACTGTTAAATACTGTGTAATTTACAAAATTTACAGTGTATGCAAACATTAAGGGAACTTTAGATCAACGCTCAACTAAAATGTTTCAGAAAATAAATATTACATCAATGTTTTGATGTTAATAAATGTGTATCCAAAGCCATCCTGGGTTATGCATATGGAAATATTTATTATTACAGGCTGTGTTTGTTACTTTTGTTTAATAAAGTTATTGCTGCAAAATAGAGTCTCTATTTCTCTTAATCAGGCCATAACAGAAAATGTCTGCCATTTTTTTGTTAACAACAAATGTTTGTTCAAATCTTCTACAGAACTTTGTCAGAAAGTTCTCCAACATTAGATCCATGACAATGATTCAAGTGATGTGAACAGACGGTGATCCGCTGGCTATGATGGTGAGTGAACAAAAACACCAATACTGATGGAAACTTCTGAATTTGACCGCCTGAACAAACTGGTCTGAATTCATTACTCGAAAAAAAATATGAGTACAGTCTGTCCTAAAAATCAAATGTGACAAACAAATCAGAATTGGGTGCAGTGTGGGAAAACGTCTCAGGCTGCAGAGCAAAAAAATATGGGAAAACGACATCAACCACTAAAATCAGAAACAAAACATCTGCGAGCCCTCCAGACTCTCTGACGTGGGAACATTCTTTGATTTCTGTTTCCAAAGCAGTCGCTGCTCGGCAGTATCTGTTTGATATTCTATCAAAAAGTGCTAGAGAAATATTACACTGGAGCATTTACACATCTCAATAATCAGATCCATGTGCATCAGAAAACAAAACACCTCTTATAACACAACATAAAGTAACACGCATAAGTAGGTCAGGCTGCCATTAATGTCCAAGTGTGTCTAGACAAAGCAGATTGTGTGATACTATAAACCATCTGCCTCTGCGATCATAAACATGGGATATAGGAGTCAAAGGTGTTGCCATTTTTGGAAGACTTTTTATATACATTGTTGACTAACAAGCTAATAGTGTGGGAAACTCCAGTGTTAAAAAAAAATATGGTGAGAGCAAGGCAATTACAAATCAGACCTTAAAGGGATATTTTCCCCCCCAAAAAAACTAATTTCCTCAGTACTCTTCCTTAAATGTTTCCAGACCTTTAGAGTTTCTTTCTTCTGTTGAATACTAAAGAAGATATTTTGAAGACAACTGAAAACCTGTAACCATTGAATTCCATACACTGTTAAAAAATGTAAGCCAACAAAAAATAATCCTGATTTCCTTTTGCTTTTTCTTGTACATTCAACTTTTGAAAACATCAGCTGCACTGACATAAAACTATTTGTCAGTAATACAAAAAACATTTAGTTGGGTTAACAAGATTATTATTTTTCTGGAGAAGTGAACTACTGTGTAGCAAAACCTTTTTAAGTTGTGCCAACTGAACATTTTTTTGTCTGCAGAACTGGAATGCCTAAAGTTGAGTAAACAAAAAAATCTCATAATCCTTATTTCCTTTAATTTTAACTTGTTTACTTAATTTGAAATTAAAATTTTTAAATGAAAGCATCAGTTACACTGACCTAAAATGTCTGAAGTTGAGTGAACAAAAAAACTAAAAAATGGGTACTAAGAAATAAAACATTATCAGAACAAACAAGCATAGTTTAATTGAAAAACCACCACAAAACAACTAAAAACTGAAACAGAGAAAAAACATTATTAGACACAGAATTAGTAACAAGACAGAAGGCAAAATAACAATAACGGTAAGCAAGGCAAGGATCAAAACATGGCAGGACAAACAGGGAATAAATGCTTTGTAATGCTTCACAGGGTAAAACAGGACTCAGCAAAGAGTCTGTGTGAATGAGGTGTCTTTATAGTCCTAGTAATCAGTCTATCATGAGCTTCCAGCTTTGTGTGTAAACAGGAGAAACTGGTTCCACCATTTGAATTATAATGTGAGCATTTGATTTGTCCTTTAATTATTACAGTATTTTACTGAGTTGTTCATGAAAACTAAATATCAAATACATGATTTAATCGTTTGAGCGTTTGATTTATCATTTGGGTAGTTGTTTTGAAAGTTTGATTTATTACTTGATGTTTTTAGGCATTTGAATTTTCATTTTCCTTTTGTTAGGAAAAAACTTCCATATACTGTATCTATATATATAAATTTTTTGTGGATTTTTACAGTGTAGTAGGAAAAAACAACTACTTTTGAAGTCAATAGTTGTAGGTTTCCTGCTTTCTTCAGAATATATTTTTTTGTGTTTAACAGAAGAAAGAAACCCATACATGTTTTAAATAAGTAAAATGTGATTATATTATGCCAGGATAATGAATTTTGTGTACTTTCTTTCAAGCCTTTAAGACTTTTATTAATCTTCAGAACACAAATGCTGATTTTTTTTAAAGAAACCTGGGAGGTTTCTGTTCCCTCGTTTTGAAAAGTCTATTTACTGACTTTATTTATCTAAAAATATTCTCACCTTTGGGTTAATCTTGATCGTGGCGATGTCTGATTTCTTGTCAATGTCTCTGATGGAGGCCTCGTAGGTTTGGCCATCGTGTAGCTGCACTCGTAGATGCTGGCGGCCTGTTACTGTTGCACTGCTAGCAACCACATGAGCGTTGGTCACAATCAGACCAGACTGGGTCATGATGAATCCAGAGCCGCTTGACAAAGGTACGTGACGGCCAAAGAGTGGATGGCTGGATACACACATTAAAAAAAAAATTATTTAATGAAGATTGCTTGCAAAGTTTATATGAATACACTTTGCTGAATGCATAGTGACCCTTTTTCGACCCACATTGCTTAACTATTATTACAGAACTTGAAAATATGATACCAAAGCAACCGTTGGCCACCTATGAAGTGAAATGAAAATATTAATGCAATACGTATGGAATAACTGACAACAAGCTAATTATTATTAATATTATTTTTATTAATTATTATCTAATTATTGCAATATAATGCACACCCTAGGTGGTGATTTGGTTACAAAGCAAAGCAGAGTTGCCATTACCCCTCAGGTGTGCAATATTTTCTAACAACGCAATAGATCACAGAGTCAGTTATTCCCATTGTAATATAATAATAACCTTGTTTCACTGCGTAGATGTTACTGCATATAAAGACATCATTCAGATGTTGTAATTCAAGACATCAAGACATTTGTCAGGTTTTTCTGTCCACAAATCATTGCTGTGTGTGGGATTAATTTCTGACACATCTCACTCAAAGCCTTTTTCTTTGATTTGATTAGATTTTTGGCTATTGTGGACAGGGTCATTTGGTTATACCACAAGAAAAGTCAGCTAATTCGTAAGAATTCATACAACTTCATTCATATGAAAATGGTTTTGGAAATCATAGTTTTACCATGGTAACTGTACTAAAACTGCTGTAATACAAATGGAAGTTTATTCAGAAAAAACATTAATTCATTCATTTTCATTTCGGCTTAGTCCCTTTATTAATCTAGGGTCGCCATAGCGGAATGAACCGCCAACTTATCCAGCACGTTTTTATGCAGCGGATGCCTTTCCAGCCACAACCCATCTTTGGGAAGCATCCACGCACACTCATACACTATGGACAATTTAGCCTACCCAATTCACCTGTACCGCATGTCTTTGGACTGTGGGGGAAACAGGAACACCCAGAAGAAATTCACGCAAATGCTGGGAGAACATGCAAAAGTCCACACAAAAACGCCAACGCCCAACTGACCCTGTCAAGTCTCGAACCAGCGACCTTCTTGTTGTGAGGCGGCAGCACTACCTTCTGCTCCACTGCATCGCCTCTAAACAAAACATAATTACTGCAATTTTACAGTTAAAAAAACTGTTATTTTTAAAAGGATAACCCTATCCCTGATTTGGAAATGAGCAAATGGTATTTCAAACCGTGAGTTCATCTGAAAATGATTCCCTACTTGTTCATCAGCCAATCAGAATAAGGCATCTAACAGCCCACCATTACACAACATTATATAAAACCACCTTTCTTTGTGAGTCTTCAATCAGGTGCCAATATTCAGATATAAAAATTGCTAACCAAATACACCAGTTCAAACATCACCTGAACGACACAGCTAGGAATACAGAAGAGGACAATCGTAATTACTTGAGGAAGAGCTCGACGTGGACCACAGCAGGGGCGATCTTCTCCACCACATCAGCGATGAAGTTAAACTTGTACCTCGGGCTGTTCAGATGCGCAGGATCTGTACTAGCAACAAGAAGCATTCATGTCAATGGCAGTATGATATGCCAGATATGAAGGCTATTGGGATGTATTAGCAATAATAACTGTTGATTTTTAGTAACTAGTTTCATCTTTATTTTTCCAAACATTTAGATACAGTATATATCCAGCCTAATCTCATGAGGAAATGTACCTATTTTTTGTTTTGTCAGTTTAGTGGCTAATTCAAATCCCACCCCTAAACCCAAACGTCATTGGGAGATGATCAAATCAAACAAAACTGTATGACTGAGATCTTGCGTGTTCATACCAATTAGCCACTAAATCAAAAGGTTACGAATTGTTGTGAGATTGTGTTGAAATTTCACAGTTTCTATACAATTAGCACAACTGTTTTCAACACTGATAATCAGTGGTGTAAAGTAACAAATAACAAATACTCAAATTACTGTAATGAAGTATTTTTTTTTCTTAGGAATTGTACTTTACTAAGTAATTTTTAAAATGAGTACTTTTACTTTCAATTTAATACCTTTTTAGTGATCTATCATAAGGCTGTGCAATTAATCAAAAATTCGTTTTCGATTTCGGCTTTTAACAATTATGAAAAAACATTCATTGAGATAAAACGGTTATTCCATTATACACCCCCTTTCCAGTTGTACACATTTGTTGCTCAGTTTCATGTGAAAATGACTAAAAGCATGTACTGTAATGTAACTTGTACAGCACGGGATGCGGGAATTCATTGATTTGAATCAATCGTGTTTTTAAAAGCGCGAAAGAGCGCATGCGGTTGTGTGTGTGCACTCAGCTTCAGAGATGAGCATCTAAAGTCATCTTAATGTGAGCGCTGTAATAGTCAAATACATGCACATTTGTGTCAAAACGCAGTGTAGTGATTATTCATATTAACCCTCATTTGCGTAATAAACAAACGAGATGAGAATCAAAAGACAAGTAAAAGTGAAACCATTAATCAGAACCGCGCTGCTCTTAAAGTGACAGCGCGCAAAATTCCTGCTGTCGACTTCCAGTAAAGAAGCTTAAAGCAGTTTGTTTCATATTTTTATTCTATTGTCTTAATTTCCCTTTCCTTATTTACTGGGAAGAAAATAACTGTACATACAGTTTAATTCAGAATTGCTAGTCCTCCATTTTCTGTTTAATGGAAAGAAGTTTTTTCAACACATTTATAAACATAATAGATTTAATAACTCATTTCTAGTAACTGATTTTTTTTTATCTTTGCTATGATGACAGTATAGACTATTTTACAACATATTTTTCTAGATACTAGAATTCAGATTAAAGTGCGATTAAAAGTCTTAATTAGGGTAACTAGGCAAGTCATTGTTTAAAAGTAGCTTCTTCTGCAGACAATCAAAAATATATATTGCTTAAGGGGGCTAATACTATTGACCAATCAAAATATTTAAACATGATGTTATTCCAGTCAAAATAAAACAAATAAGACTTTCTCCAAAAGAAAAAATATGATAGGAAATACTGTGAAAAATTCCTTGCTCTGTTAAACATTATTTGGGAAATGTTTATTAAAAAAAAATTCACAGAAGGGTGAATAATTTGACTTAAACTTATAATCGTTTTGAATAATCGTGATTACAATTATCACCAAAATAATCGTGATTAGGATTTTTCCTATAATCGAGCAGACCTACTCTATCCGTACTTTTACTCCACTCTTTTCCTTCAACATGCCGTCACTACTTTACGTTTTACTTGTATTTTTTATATTTGATTAGCTAAGTAGAATGAACAGTCTTATGATTCCCATTCAATCAAATTGCATGTAGAAACATTGCACTTTACAGAACAACCTCAAGACATGGGTGATTTATAAATGCAGCAATTATGTACAGTTTGGAAGCATTAAAGGTACCCAAGTAGGCACAAATGACTTTAAACAATCACTAAATGTACTACAGAATGTTACGTTTTCACACACACACATGTGTTTCTGTGGATAGCATGTAAATGGATCAACCTCTCACATCATAATTCTCACTAGTACTTTTAAAATGGCTACTTTTTACTCGTACTAATATAATAACAACATATACTTTTACTCTACTCTTAAGTACTTTTTAAAGGGCGACTTTTCGTCACACTTTATTTTGATGGTCCGTTTGCTGAATATAAGTTACATTGCATCTACATGTCAACTAATTCTCAATAGATTATAAGTAAACTTGGGTTGTGGTTAGGGTTAGTGTGAGTTGACATGTACTTGCAAAGTTTCTTATAGTCAGTTAAATGTCTGTTGAAGGAGCAGTATTGACATTAAGCAGACAGTCCACTAATACTTAAATAGATCATCAAAATAAAGTGTTACCCACCTTTTTACTCACACTTTGAGTAATATTTACAACAGATAACTTTACTATACTAACTTGCCATACATCTTTGGGTAAGTAATGGTATTTTACTTCAGTATAATTTTTCAGTACTCTTTTCACCACTGAAAGATTGTGTGAAACAGAACTTAATCTTCATTATTCAACTTCATCAGCTGTCAGCGTTGCACTAAATATTTGAAAAGGTACATGCTTGTGATGCTCCCTAAGAGTATATGAAGTTGAATAGATTTAAGACATCCATTGTAATAATCTGGATCACTGCATCTGCTAGGTGTGTCACTTTGAATACTTCCCTTATGTTCCGTGGGCTGGAAATTGTTTCCTTTTTCCCAAAGCTTTGGATAGAACCTATAAACATTGGTTCGTGTTTTGTTTTGCAATTCCGTAGAAATGAGCAAAAAGCTACATTTAAATGGTGTTTATATTCTGCCGCTGGGTGAAATAACTTCAGGAATAGCAAGAGGAAGTGAGAGTCTACATCACACTAAACATCCAAAGCACACTGACATTTAGACAAATCTAGCAAGCACAATGTCCAGGCCTAAAGTATTTGTCCCCTATTTAAAAAATAAAGGTTATGTTCAATTTAGACTGACAAAAGCAGCTGGAGACAGTGTGAAATTCCAAGAAGTCTTAATCACACAGGAAGATAAAGTTAGTGGAGATTTAACAGCAGTGCTACAGCCGACTGACTCAGTGTCAGTGAATTAGTGTGATTATGTTTCATGCAAAGTCATTTCAGCAACACTATACCTTGATGCTCTCTAGAAATCACTAGAAGTCATTAGAGTATTAGTAGAAAATCATTAATATTTCCTAGCACTTTATTTTGAAGGTCCCCTTTGGACATTATAGTTATTTTTTATATATTTTATTTGTTTACTTATATTTATTTATTATTTTTTAAGTGATGGTAATAGGTAGTTACCACTACCTATTAGTAACTAGGCATCTGGTCTTGGACTGACAACTATAGACGCATCATCAACTAAAAAATAGTCTAAACCAGTGGTTCTCAAACGTTTTTCATCAAGTACCACCTCAGAAAAAAAGTTGTCTTTGCAAGTACCACCATAATGAGCAGTATTGAAATGAGCGTATTAGGTCTAGTAAAGCAGCTAAAGCTCAGTACAGATCAAAAACGAGGCATATTAGTTCCTATTATTAAGAACATTTAAATCAAAATGTGCTTTTAAAAGCTAAAAATAGAAGGTTACTGTTCTTAAAGTAAAAAAAGAAATGACTCCTGGTTTATCAGCACCTGGAAATGTTGACTGGACCTCATAAATATGGGCTTTATGTCATATTCGTATACAAATCATTTTTGATAATTAATTTAAATATATGTAGCATGTACATATGACATATTAGATTTATCCGCGTACCACTAGAAGGAAGCCTGTGTACCACTAGTTCCACAGTTTGAGAACCACTGGTCTAAACAAAGATGTTTCTTTTTGTGCATAGAACCGTTTACTTGTTTTCAAGCTGTAATCTCAACATGGGAGCCAGCAACATAAAAAGGGGGAAAATCCTATTGCATGCAACAGGTTTGATTGGATTTCCCCAGTGAGTGTACATCATGTAGACACATTTTTCTAATACTTTTGGAAACTTTTGAAACTTCAAGGTTGAATACATTATTAAATTCAATGTGCTTATGAATATGCAGCTATTTAGTTTACAGTTTCATATAGAATTTCTCCTCACTAAGAGATAATAAATAATTTAGTACCATATGTTTAAGTTTTATCAAAAGAAAACCATTTACAAGGTATTTTAACTTATACATTACTTTAAACTGACTTAAAATGACAAGTTAAATCTCATAAAATGTAAAACATGAAGTTGAAACATGGATAAATAGATCTTCTTTTTTCCTTTTTTTTTCTTTTTTTGTCAAATACAGAAGAGAATATTTTGAAGAAAGCTGTAAACCTGTAACCATTGACATCAACAGGAAAAACAAATACTTTTGAAGTCAATGGTTACATGTTTCTAACATTTTTAAAAATATCTTCTTTTGTGTTTAACAGAAGAAAGAAACTCATAAAGGGTTGAAACCACTTGAGGGTGAGTAAATAGTAAGTAAATTTACTTACATTTCAAAAAACTATTCTTACAATATAAAATGGTTACATTTTTAATTCACTAATTACTTATTCACAAATCCAGATTTCCGATGTTATCATTTAAAAACTAAAAAGTAGGCTAAGTAGTTAAATTGACCATGACTGACCTGAGCTTGAGGGTGCACATGAGCCCTTGTGTCTTTGGGTTATCACGGAGAGTCTTCGCTGCTGCGCTTTACGCGAAGCAGTCCTCATCTTACACACATTCCCGTAGGTCTTTCCGTCGGTACCACATACTCTGTGAATGGTCTTACACTGGCAAACACCTTTAGAAAGTCGTTTACCGGTCGGAAATTTACATTCCAGCCCGTCGCCGCACAGGACATCTTCCTTCCGACCACACGGCGCGCCTTCGCCCAGGCTGCAGACCAGACAGCAGTTGCAGCGGTCGGGCACATACCCGCTCGGACAGCTCGGGCTCGGACATTTACTCACATCGCACTTGGATGGACAGTTCGACTTCAGCTCTGCAATTGCGAGGTCCTGCGTAAAGATAAATGTTGCTGCAGCTAACAGAATTACCTGCATTCCGTCTGTTTCCGAGTAGAGAAATATACAGTTCAGGTAGTCCTGTCTAGTTTGTTCGGTGACCTGCTTTGTTAAATCCTTGTAATAATCATCCCTGACTAATTAAGTTTTAAAGAAGCTAAAATACTGCAGCAAAACACAGCTCCAATGATTTTTCCATAAACAGCATCCCTCCCCTGATGTTGGTTAGTAAAATACCCGAGGTTAAAACTTAAAGGCTCAGATGCTGCTTCTCGTGCAATATACCATTGTAAATATCAGTCCTGGATTAATCTAGCCCGGTTTCTCGCACAGACTCACACGCACTCAAGTCTCTGCACCTCAGTCTTTTCGTAGACTAAACCCACTCACACATAGTAGGAGCTATGAAGAGACAAACATTACTCAACAGTCTAGGAAAGATCAAGCCCAGCTGACACATAGCAGGAATATTCAAATAGAGCTCAAAATCCAAAGACAGAGAAGACAGGACGTATAAATAGGCCTATTTCTAATATAATCTTGCTGACGTTTGTATTTTTTAATTACTGTTTAAAATTAGATTTTTGTTAAATTAAATAACAATGGCCAATATAATCACAGCTAAAGAGTGTGAGATTTAGTTTGAAATCAATGTAAGTCATTAAAAATTACAAATAACAACAACACAATAACGTCACAAAAATTTTCAGGGCTAATTGAGAGATCTCATCCATAAGGCCAATTTTGTATTTTTACTTAAAAAGAGTTTTTCCAGAGGCACAAAATTACAGCAATCCAGCAAATTTTGACCCTTTTTTAAAATTATTATTATTATTATTATTATTATTATTATTATTATTATTAATTATATTATTTAATCTTACAGTTTTCAGTTGGAATCAGATGGGTGATTGAGAACACGTAAATGAGAAAATACTCCATCCTGAGGTGAATATTAGTACTGCAAACGGGGTGTTTTAGTGATAGTTCACTATAAAATGGTTATAAAATTGGTGTTAATTCACTCCAGGCTCTAATCTTTACACGTTATCTTGCAATGAAATGCATAAAAAAACCATAAAAATGGACACACTTTGAAGGTAATACACCACTAAAACGATCACAATCAGAAAGATAAAAATTTTGTTTTTGAATAGCAGAAATACTTTAGCTAACATTATAGTCCTTAGACAAAAAATTTACAACAAAAATACAATAAAAATAAAATACAATTCACATGATAAAATGTAAATTGTTCTGAGAATTTAAAGTACAAAAAAAAAAAGAAAATCCACATGGTAGAAAAAAATGACATTGTCTATATAAACCCTAGTACATTTCATTTATTCATTTTCGCTTGGCTTAGTCCCTTTATTGATCAGGGGTTGCCACACCAGAATGAACCGCCAACTTATCCTGCATATGTTTTACACAGCGGATGCCCTTCCAGCTGCAACCCAGTACTTGGAAACATCCATACACATTTATTCACATACATAACCAAAAGGGCCAATTTAGTTTATTCAATTCACCTTTAGTTCATGTCTTTGTACTGTGGGGGAAAACCGCAGCACCCGGAGGAAGCGAAGTTGTCTTCCAAAAATGACACCACTTACAGTTCACAATAAACATATAGATCAATCTGTCATACAAAAATCTTAAGGTTATGGCAGAAGTTAACATTTAGAAAGAATATTTAATGTAATACTACATTTTTTATCTTAACACAAGAGAATATTTCCAAACATAAAATTATTTTTTGAATACAAACATTGGTTGCACGCTGAAATCTTCAAGAATGTGTGGTACGCCGTACGCCAAAGACTTAAAGGAACTTAGGGTAAGCTGATAAAACAAAAACATCTTCATATCTTTCTTTTCCAATGTTTCCTGGAAGCCTTAAAGGGAAGACAACCAAAAAGTCAGATTGAGGTTTAGTCAGAATCAATGACATAGTGAATCAGAAAATATCAATTAATTGGATAATGTTTAGAATTATTTCTGGAATATAAAAAAATTTAATACATACTTTAAATCCATATGCCCTCAGAATTGTCTTGATTTTCTGATTTCTGCAATTTCTCTGCTACAGATGAAAAGAAGCACACAACAGTCACCATCTCAATCTTATATACTGTACTGAATTTTACATAACCTTTAATGCTGTAACCTTATGTTCCTTGTCACATGGTGGGCAGTTTTATCATTATTATTTTAATGAATTGAATGTATTATATTTTAGCTCAGTACATTTTTTGTTATATTCTATATTTTGGGGGATTTCTTTGGGTATCACTTTATATTAAATTTGTTTGCATGTACATAATTAAGTTTTATCCTTAAACCTACCCCCAAACCTAATCTTAGTCCATGTAGTGACCTTAGTACTAGTATCTTATGTTAACTTCATATAATAAAGTGCAACCCTAAATCCATTGATGGCATGTTAATCACGTTTTGAGCATAGGTAGACCTGAAAACGTAATAAATCTCGAAGACTTTGAAGCTAAGACAAATGTTTAGTCTCTTTTTAAAGAAGTCTCTTTTTTATTTTAATCCTGGTGGATTATTGAAAATGAAAACAATATGACCTATAGTCTCTAAAGGCGGTTTACAAGGACATTACTTGTGTCTTTGTAATTCAAAACACTCAAAATTCATACTTTATGGGGTCAAGGTTTCTTGTGTTGGTTAAGTTTAGTTTAGGGGTAGGGGTGGGGTAATGCCATATATACAGTAATAAGTGGTTTTTACAATATAATATACATTACGCCTATGGGGAGTCCTCATAAACCATATATACAAGTATATCTGTGTGTGTCTGTACCAGTTTTGGTGGTTTAGGATGACAAATGTACAAATTTGTATCATGACATAATTATTACCTAGGCATTTCAGTGTTTATTTCAGTGGTTTATGAAGACGTGCACTGTGTCCTCGTAATATACAACTCGTAATATTTTTTTTTTTCAATTCAAAATTTGCCACAGATTTCCTGTAAGGGTGCCATATTTATCTGTGTGTGTGTGTGTGTGTGTGTACATCAAATCAGCAATGGTGTTTTGGGCAACATGATTTAGTATTACTTAGATTTACCTTTTTCCTGGCGTTTCCCATGTTCTTTGATGAATTGACCTTTGTTTTTATGGTATATATCAGAAATCTTCTCCAGCAGTTGATTTACTTGAGTCTGATCCTCAATGTCCTTGTTATTCAGTGCATGATATCTTTTGTCATACATTTTTAGAAGGCCGTCAAGCTCTGTATTCTCCTTAATGAACCCTTCGATATCTTTGTCTTCCAGATCATCCTTTCCAGAGAAAACGATCAGTGTGTGTGCTCTTGATTTGTCAAGACACGTGTGTATGTGATCTATCATTTTAAAGGTTTCTGCTGTAATTTCTCCCACTTTAATTACAATCATAATGACGTGCAGTCCTGGAGTGGCATGTGAAAGAGACTGAGAGATTGAATCGTTCACTTCTGTTTCGTCTTTAATTCCAGGAGAATCAATCAACATTAAATTAACCCCAGGCCTGCTGATTGTATACACAGGGGATTTGCTGCTTTTGGTTTTGGCATCTTTTCCTAAAAGAGTCTGGATGGTTGAGGTTTTTCCTGATCCAGTCTTTCCCAAAACAACAACTCTGACCTGTTGAGTAGTTTTGTCCTGAGGATCTGTATTGTCTTTCTTGGGCCTCTTCTTTTGTGCATTTGAAGGTCCGGTCACTTTATCAGATGGGTGCTGACCCTGTTCTGGCTTTCTAATCCTCATTTTTTCATCTTGATTGTTAATATTGGCACAATCCATTTCATCGTCACTCTTTATCTGTGTTACTTTCAGAGCTTGTAAGACTTTGTTCAGACTCTTCTTGACAGATGAACTGTCTTTGTTGTTCCAGGTGAACACTCGATTCCCACAGCTGAGAATAATGCTCCGCAATGGTCCTGTTTCCTCCTCTAGAAATTGCTTAAAGGATTTTGACTCAAGGTTATCAGAGTGTGTGAACAGAATTGAGGTGTGATTCATGAATTGTTCTCCTAAGACTTTATGTAATTTTGGAATCATTAGCATTTCTTTGGCAGTAAAGGAACCGATAGGGAAGACCAAAAGAAAAGCATAAGGTCCATTAAGTGACAAAATGGCTGTCTTAATTTGGGATGCCACCTCATCCTCAGAGATTTTAGTGCAGTGCCATCCTGGAGTGTCCACAACTGTGACTTCCATTCCATTCACTGTGGCTGAAGCCGTCTGGTATGATAATGTCACTGACTGAGTAGATGCGTAAGATTTGAAGACCTTTTTATTGAGTATGATGTTTCCTGAAGCACTTTTTCCAGACCCAGTTGCACCAAGCAGGATTACCTGCAATTTCTGTGGGGCTTCCATAACAAAAGTAGTCCGTCAAATTGTCCAGGTTTTTCCTACAGACAGAAAATTATAATACAGATATATAATTATCTGTTAAATATGCAGAATATTTTATTTAAAATAATTAATTGCTATTTGTTGTGATGCTGGAATATGATTTTAGGTTGTTGCTCTACTCTGGTTACATGTTGTAATGTAATGTGTATTTATATAGCGCATTTATTGTGTATGGCCATCCACCCTAAGTGCTTCACAATCATGAGGGGTATTTCTCCGCACCAACACCAGTGTGCAGCATACACTTGGATGATGCGACAGCAGCCACAGGACAATGACGCCTGTGCGCTCGCCACACACCAGCTATTGGTGGAGTGGAGAGACAATGATAGAGCCAGTTCGATGGATGGGGATAATTTAGAGGCCATGATCGTAAGGGCCGATAGAGGGACTTTGGCCAGGTCACCGGGTTTACACCCCTACTCTTTATGAGAAGTGCCATGGGATTTTTAATGACCACAGAGAGTCAGGACCTTGATTTAACATCTCACCTGAAAGACGAAATGGGTTTTATTGTGTGGTGAGCCATCCTAAAGTGGTTCAGCAGATTCTTTCAGCCACAACTATAGAAGATGGTCACTCCAAATCTGTAATTTCCACAATTTTGCTGTTTTACAATGTCATTGTGGGTGTGTTGGTAACAAATTATGTGAACTATCATTTATCGTGGCTGTTATTACCTTTAAACACACATCTGTAAAACCTCAACCTGCAT